ATATATATATATATCGCAATGGCAAAAATTGAGGTCATCTCAAAGTATTGCAAGACAAGTCGATATATTGATTGTTGTGACTTGATTTTAATATACAATGATTTGGACATGCTAATTCTGTTTTTGAATACTGTTTAGGATAGATAGTATGTGAATTGTGACGCAGCAAAAGTTTTTTTTTTTAAATTTGTTTTAAATTTGATAGAATTTGTGAATCTTTTGGATGTTTGATGCGTATGATCTTCATTTGGGCTGCACAATATATTGGTTCAGCATTGATATCGCAACGTGCGCATTTGCAGTAGTCGCATTGCTAATATACACAATGTTGACTCTGTATTTTAATATAAGTATTGTCATTTTGCAAGTGTTTTTTGAAGCCTGTGATTGTGTGAAGATTTTGAAAGCATTCAGGGTTACGAATTTGTACAGATTTTAACTTTGACAACTTAAAAAAAACCTATAAATTTTATTGAATTGTTTATAAAACAAATAAATACATTTGATTATTCAATTACTGTATAGCTGAAGACAGTTTTACTTCTCGGAAAACAGCACAATGTTTATTTATTTTGTGTCTTTATTGATTTTATCTATGCTTGTAGATAGTGCATATGCATAAAATATAAGGAACAATCCTATAGAATCATCCCAGTCAATTTTTGCAAATAGTTATGCTTTTTAATATAGCGAAATTGTGTTCATATTGCAAAATATATTAAAGATTAAAAAAAAATATTGCAAGGTTAGATTTTTCCAATATCGTGCAGCCCTAATCTTTATGATCATGTTCTCTGAACACATCAATTGTTTACTTGTCTTCTTAGCAATAATGATTTGAACAATAATACAGTTAATAGTTGTCATTATAAACAATTCTTTACTAACACACATGAGTAACCAAACTCCACGCACATGCGTTCATAACAGACGGTCACTCCCATTCATTCACTTGTTGTTTTTCCCAGTGGAGGTCCATTGTCGGGTCAACACCCCTGAGTGCAGCAGACCTGAAATGATTTGTAAAAGAAACGGCTTACATACTGGCTGACTGGGTGTGTATATGCTAGCTTGCTTGCATAATGCCAATGCTGAAAAACAACAACTCGACTGGCTTTGTGTCTGACAGTGACCATTTAATCGTCTGGATGAGATTTGAAGTGTTTTAACAGAGATTATCCTGACCTTTCTGCCTCCCCCATCACCCGCTAAGATGACTTAATGGCACACTTCTCGTTTTTTTTTCTGATTTCCCTGTAATGGCAAAGGTGGTTTGGTAGTGTTACATAAGTGTTGGTTCAGTCGATCTGTAGAGAAGTCCCTTTTTGTTTTTTTTGGTCCAAAATCTCCCAGTTACTATGAAATATGTTTCAATGTCATATATGAGGTTGTCCATAGAGGTCTGAAAAGTGGATTATGGCATATGGATGGTCTTCTTTGGAAGCTTTGAGGTCAGTCTGAGCTAAAGCCAGGGTTGTTTTTTGCCCTTAAACCATTTAATGCCAAGTTCAGACTACATAGTCTGATTTTAGCACAGTCTATTAGACATAGTGTCTGGGAGAAATGCAAACAATAATGTGCATCAGGATGCAAGAATGAATAGTTTATTTTAGGGCTGCATGATATTGTTATAACTGACATAGTGAGGTTTTATTTTTCTACGATATACAGTTGAAGTCAGAATTATTAGCCCCCCTGTTTATTTTTCCCCTGTTTTCTGTTTAACATGAGAGATTTTTTTTTTTTTACAGATTTCTAAACATAATAGTTTTAATAACTCATTTCTAATAACTTTTATTTTGATGTTTTATTTTATCTTTGCCATAATGACAGGACATAATAGTTTACTAGATATTTTAAGACACTGCTAAACAGCTTAAAGTGACATTTAAAAGGCTTAACTTGGTTAATTAGGTTAACTAGGCAGGTTAGGGTAATTAGGCAAGTTATTTGTATATGGTTTATTCTGCAGACTATCGAAACATTTTTTTTTAGCTTAAATGGGGCTAATAATATTGTCCTTAAAATGGTTAAAAAAATTAAAAACGTATTTTATTCTAGTCGAACTAAAACAAATAAGACTTTCTCCAGAAGAAAAAAACATTATCAGACATACTGTGAAAATTTCTTTGGTCTGTTAAAAATCATTTGGGAAATATTTGAAAAAAAGAGGAAAAAATTAAAAGCTGGGCTAATAGTTCTGACTTTAACTGTATATTGCGATATTGAATATATAATTTCACCAGATGAAATGAATAGGTCTGTTTGGAAAGAATCATAATTTTTGATAAATTGAGAATATTTTATAAGGGAGTGCTTCTACGTAAATGATAATAAACCAATTACAAACACTGAGAAATATAGTACAGCAACAACAATGACCAAACAAAATACAGTACTTTATGATTTTCTGGAAGTCTATCAATATTTAGATGAACACATGTAATAATAAAATGTTAAATAACATCATATAGTATACATAAATGCAATACATTTTCCTTAAAGTTAAAAATCTAATTTATTTTGCCTGATTACTTTTAAACTGAATTAAACATAAAAATGATAAATGTTACAAAAAACATCACAAATCATGAGTGTTTTCCAAAATCTGATCAATAATAATAATACAGATTTAACATTGCAGATCTTGTGATGTGACTATTGCGGGAGCGCACATTGCAATATCAATGGTAAAATGATATGTTGTGCAGCCCTAGTTTACATGTACAGTAGTAGTGCATCGTAGTGGATGGGAAAATGATGCAATGGTTCTATATGCTTCAACGTCCAATTTAAAAAGCATGTCTCTCTCTCTCTCTTTTTTTTTTTTTCTTAAGTATGCTTGTGAGATTGACCAAATTCTTTCATAAATTTTAAATGTGGCAAAATCAAAGCGAGATGATGGGATTGTTGCTGCTTGGTGAAAATAAAGCCCTTTCACATCAATCACAATATAAACCGAGTTCTGAAAATTGTTCTGTATCTAAAACAACAGCAAAGTTTAAACCACAATTTAAGATGAAGAAAAAGAACACAGCACTTCAGTAGTCATAAACTTGGATTCTGTAGCAGATTTGTGTAAAAGGAAAATAGTTTGCTATATAATTTTTGTCAAATACAAAAAAATGATTGTAAATTGATTTGTTCGTAGGTTTGTGTATATTGCAATAATGTGGACGACTTTTCTAAGCACTAATGACTAGGAAAAAACCTTACTCTTGGAAGCAGCCACACATGAAGTGTTTCTGGGAGATTATGGCATGAGATTTTTACAGATGAACATTGGATTTAGAATTTCTGGATGAAAAGATCCTCTTTTTGTAAGTTATGCAATGTAATATGACCTCAGGAGTCAGTTCCTACAAATAAATGCATAAGCATATCTTTATATCTTTAAAGAATGATAATAATATACTTCTGTATGCTAGGTGACCTATAAGTGCAATATTTTCATTTTAAAACCCAAGTATCTCCTTTGTGCATAAAAAAAGTTACTTTGTATGGAAATTTGTGATTGACATAAGTGTTTTCAATTTGAAATATTAACATGCACAATTATAGGTAATGAAAACACAGCTAATATTTGCTTGCACTTTTTAAAATCTGTCAGGAACGACATGTGGTGATTGCTACATAGGCGGACATGTTTCTTATCTACAACTCAAAATCACTTAAAGGAATGGTTCACCCCAAAATTAAAATTTCTCCTTCTTTTAATCACACTCGAGTGGTTCAAAAATGTTTATAATTAATTTATTTCTTGTGTTAAACACAAAATGAAACGCGTATTCTGGAAACTGTTGGAAAAAGCAGCCATTGAAATCCATAGTAGAAACCAAAAAAGGTTTACCATTGAAGTTAATGGCTGTTTTTTTTTTTTTTTTTTTTCTTCAACATTCTTCAATACATCTTCATTTGTCGATGAAATAAACCGAAACACTCACATTATCAGACAATAATATAATGTAGATATTTATACATATTTGAATTGGCATGGAAGTTTATCTAGTAAAGCCTGTACACTTATAGCTTATTAAGCCTTTCACATGTTGGTTAGGTTAGGTTTGGTTTCTGTTTCTCAGCTCAGTATCAGATTAGCTCTTGTGGTCAGAGCCCTGCACGAATCGAGAAATGATGTCATGCTACTGTGAATTAAATGAACCTGCCTCTGTTTTGGGGAATTATTTCATACTAGACATAACCCTGTCATAGCATGACAATAACATGAACAGTGGCTAAAGCATGAGGCTAAAGAGTCGCACGGTTTCTGTTCTGCTTTTCTTCCTATACATCAGTTTTTTTTTTTTTGTGTGTTCAAAAGTATGTGTTTTGCTTCTGTAGGTGGTGCTGGGGGTAAAGGTGTTTGGGGAACACCTGGAGAAGTTTATGGCGAAGATGAAGTCGATTATAAAGATCCCAATTACGATGCAGAGCAGGTATGACCCACATTGTACTATTGCTTTCGTAAAAGTTCGTAACCAATTAATTGGCATGTAATCCACAATTTTGTGCCTCCAGGAAAACTGTGTATACGAGACGGTCGTCCTTCCTCTGGATGAAGAGGCGTTCGAGAAGACGGTCACTCCTATCGTGCAGGAGTACTTTGAACATGGAGATGCCAATGAAGTGGCGGTGAGATTGTTATGACCCCTATTGCTTGTTCATATCTAATCATTAAGCTTGTTTACGTGCATGCCAATGTGCTGATAAGCAGCCCAGACAGAATTTGCTGACTTGTTTTGCTATTTCTGTGCAGTGTTTGGTTAAAATATTGATGCAAAATGATTTTTAAAGTATTAGATCTGAAAACTTGACAAATAATTATTAAAAACTTTTATTTACTTAACTAAAATATTAACATTTGCTTAACAGGTTTTATTTAAGCCTTACAATGCAATTCCATTTGCAAACACTTATTTGTAAGCAAAGCAGGTCTCTTATATACATGGTGTCAGGTGGGTCTTAAAATGTCTTAAATTTCTATAACTAAAACTAATAGGCCTTAAAAAGTCTTAAATTCACTGAAATATGGTGTTGTAGGTCTTAAAGACTTTTTAGCAGGTCTAAATTTTTCTTTATTTTCCATATAAAGCTACAATCAAAAATCTATCTGAAATTTACAAATGTGGTTTAATTATCTTCCTTACATCCTTACAATAACATTAGTTTAAAAGTTCTTATTGTATTTGTGCATTTTCTTTCTTTCTTTTTTTTAAAGAAAAGTTATGGTAATGAAAATATGTATATAGGTCACTAGAGTTTGCTTGTTTTGACGCATAATTTAAAATATTTTCCTAAGAAATAACAAAATTTTTATTTTATTGAGGCAAGTAATAAAAAAATTCCACTGGCCATTACAAAAATTCCATAGCGTTTTGCCCTCTAAAAGTCTGAAATCTAATTTATAATGGTTTTAAAAATGTCTAAAATATGTCCTAAATATGACTTGAAAAGTGAAACCTGCAGAAACTCTGATGTAATACATCCACTAAAAGACTTAAAATTACAAATTCTATTGCACAAATCATTTAAATGTGCCATAGAGTGCATAGATTCAGATGTTAAATTTTTCATCATAGTAGTTGTGTCTTAGGCCCCGTTTACACTAGTGCGTTTTAGTTTTAAAACGGTGTTTTAGAATGAAAACGATTCGCATCCACACTAGCGTTTCACCCAGCGTTTCTGAACAGCTCTCCGTCTTGCTCTCCATCAAAACCACTGAAAATGCACATCACGTGACCACACACACACACACTGGCATGCGCTGCAGCATATCTACCTGTATGAGAGCTGTGCTTGTTGGACTGCTCATCAAGGATCTCCCGCTGGATCTAATCTCACTATATTTGTTAAATGAGGTATTTAATTCCTCTTGTTATCTATATCTAATGACATATTCCCCGACTTTGGTCTTTTGAATCTATGACTTGTTCTCAGGTAACGTGTTTTGGCTGAGCGCAAAGATAAGTTAATATTTAATGTAACCACGTACATTCTGTATATTGACTGATTGCTTGCCTTTATTTACTGTAATGTATAAACTTATTGTACGTTATACTTTTATAATGGCCATTATTGATTATTAAAACTGATATTCAGCAAAAGATAGTGTATGTTTCGTATTTTCAATAAAAATTAAAGGGGGCAGTTAAGTTATAGGCTCTGTTTTGTTATAAATACGCATACAGTGAAGATGACGCTCATATAAATACCTACTCTACGCCTTAGCATTTCTGCTGTCTGTTAAGTTACTAATAACAAAATGAAAATAGCTGTTCTTTATATCATGTTTTCATTTTATTGTTAAGAAAGTGAAACAACATAGCCAGGATGATGTGAATGAGGTTATAAAGTACACTGTTCCTTTGAAGATTTACCCGACATGTCCCCGGGAGCCTGTTTTCAATATCAAATTTGCAAAGTCTGAACTTACCAGGAGAAAATGCAGAACAGAACTGTGTGGAGGCTACTTAATATTGAGCAAAACCCCCAATCAGGCTCCGCCTCCGTTTTCAGATGTCTCTGTTTTTCCCCTTCCACACTGAGACAGAGCAGCAGCGTTTTAGAATGAAAACGGCCTTTCAGCCTTCCAAAACGCTCCATTTTTGGAGGTTATTGTAGGTCAGAATACACATCAACTATCCCACAAAACACACACAAAAAAAATCATGTTGCATTGATAAAATAGATGTCATTTTAATTTGATTCGCTGAAGCATGTATTACACAAAATAACATTACAGCAAAAAAAAGTCTACCCCCTTCCCCCCAATGTAAAATTTGCACGCTGGTCTTAGGTAAATTTAAAAAAATCTACAGATATGGTTTTATATGCTTATTTGTAACAACAGAAGTTACCACTAGAATGTAGAGCTCACTTTTGACCATATTTGGGATGGTCGTAAATAATAATGAGCTCTGTTTTGACGCTGCAGCTTGTCAGTGCCTGATCACACACACACACACACACACACAGTGTGATATACTATAAAATGCACCCATGCAAAATATTTTAACAAACTTGAGTAGATGCATTGTCAAATCGTTGTTTCACCTGAAGTGGAGAAGATGTTCACATTAGGAGCGAGTGAGCTATCTGTAGTGTGCAACTTAGTCTGCTCCTCCAAGTACTGTTGCTGAGATATGTGCTGGGGATGAAATATGAGGATCATTTATGATCATACCGGACAAAAGAGAACAACAGAAATGTACTTAGACTTGTATTTTGAAGCTTTAACACATGTCTGGGCAGATAAACGATATTATATTGCATCTTGAAATAAAATACATCAATAACAATCATACGCCTTGGACTTTTTTAACTCTATATTGATCTATGAGCCAATCACACAGCAGAAATGTGCAACAATGGGAATATAAAAGTGTGTTGATGTTAGAGATGTACCCAATTTTTGGCCACCAAAAATCTATCGGCTGAATATCTGTTATGCCATTTAATGGACTCTTTAATTTTTGTGGCTTCAGTCATTGTTGGGGTCTTTTAAATCCGGAAGCATTAACACTTTATATCTAAATGTATATTGTTATCGAAAATAATCATCAAGATTGCATTTTTGCAATATCGCACAGCCCTACATTAACTTGTATGAAAACAACCAGGGATATCAATCTCTGCATAAACAGATGTGTTTTAATAAAATGTATTCTTATCCCTTCACTCTTGAAAAATCACAGTAACAGCTGAGTGATATGACACAATGCATAAACATGCATTAAATGCTTATATTCAGTATTTTACATGTGTCTGTTGCCTCTTTACAAACATAAATGACAAGTTTACAAGACAATATACATATTAAACTAGCAAAAGATTATTCCAACATGTCATATACTACTGTATTCTGCAGATGTTTTACTCTACCACTACTACTTAACTAGTGGTATAAGTAGTTTATAATTATTATTCTTTATGTCAAGAAAAAGTCTTTAATATTTATTTCCTGCTAAGTCTGCATGAAGCCGAAGCTGCAACCTTTTTTTTGTATTGTGACTCAGTTCCTAGAGAGACAGAATAATAAATGAGGAAAAGTGGGCGTGGCTTGCTTTTTTTCTACTACGAGCTGATTGGATGTAGTAAACATCCAAATGAAACTGACATTTCATTTGGAAATATCGAAAAAGGGTTTTCGGGAGCGTTATTACAACCTCGCCATTTTTGTGTATTGTCATATTCCTGTCAAAACTGTCGACACAATTTGAGAATGTAACTGAAAACAAACAGGAAGTGCATTTTCAGATTTCAGTTTTAAATTACAAGGGCAAACTTTTTTTTTTTTATGGCATGCGCAGATGAATTGTTTACCACAAAACTACCAATGTGAGCTTACAAAATCAATATGGTTAGTTTTGATTTCATGTGTACTTTAAATCTTCAGTATGAATGTGTTTCTGTCACATTTCACACATGCGCTCTTTAATAAACCCACAGTTAAATGTGTTCAAAATGTAAACGCACTCAATGTTATGCAAACCCCTGCGAGTAAACATCAGTATTGTCTTTGTTCGCTCAGGAACTGCTTGCTGAGCTGAATCTGGGCAGTATGCGTGGCGACGTGCCCATGCTAGCTGTATCGCTAGCACTGGAGGCTAAGGCAAGCCACAGAGAACTAACGTCTCGTCTGCTGAGTGAGCTCTGCGGTCGAGTACTCACTGCTGGCGATGTCCAGGCCTCCTTCCACAAACTGCTGAAAGAACTGCCCGACCTGGTGCTGGACACACCTGGAGCTCCACAGGTAACACACTAATGCCAGCATACGCCCGTCTGAGCTGTTTATCACTGTTAATATTACACATGCTTGGTGCAATTATTAAATCCTATAAACATATGAATTATATGTTTAGATATGTTAGCGTTTAATGGTTTTAGACTATTGTAATGATTTTTGGTCACACTTTACAAATGCGTTTTATTAATATATTTACTAACATGAATCAATAATGAAAAAATCCTGTACAGCCTTTAATAATCTTAGTTCAACATTTACTAATGCATTATTAACATCCAAATTCATGATCATTAACATTAGTCAACATGAGCTAACAATGAACAAATGTATTTTTATTAACTAATATTAGCTAACAATAACTAATACTGTAATAAATCTATTGTTCATTGTTTGTTTATGTTAGTAAATGCATTAACTAACACAAACTAATACAACCTTTATTGTAAAGTTACAATTTTTTCTTACAAATTTTTCTATAAATTTTATTTATATATATATATATATATATATATATATATATATATATATATATATATATATATGTATATATTTAAAAATAAATATTTATTTGTAATAAAAAGCCAAATATTATTAAGATAATTGTGCTAATATATTATTATTGAAAATCAAATGTACTATAATACATGCATATAAAATACATTTAATAAAAGAAAACATTTATATTAAGTGTGCTGACACTTTTAATCTTATATTATTTTTGTATTGTATGAATATACGTGATATAATTAACAAAAGTAGTATTTTGTTGTTGTACTAAGTAACCTGTAATAATATAATATACTTTATTACTATGTTTTTGGCAGTGTGATAGAAAATGTAGACCAGGCTGACAGGAACGATTTGTAATGTTTATGACCAAAGATATTATTTTAAGATGTAGTGCTATACTATAATAGTGATATTTTAATCTCAAATAAAAGGGTATAATTATATAAATGTACTATTATTCTTTATGGCATTTTTCAAATATTTATATATAGTTTTGTAGATCTTGTCATCCAAAGTTTTATAATATTAAGTATTTACTTTGTCAATTTTATTAATGTAATCCATTTCCAAATTACACTGTTGTTTATATAATATAATAAGAAAATTAATATAATTTATAGCTGAAATATATTATTATTATTATATTATAAAAAATTAAATAACACACCTTATAAAATAATTTATTTTAGTTACATCATTAAAAAAATCTATGATATATATATATATATATATATATATATATATATATATATATATATATATATATATATATATATATATATATATATATATATATATATATATATATATATATATATATATATATATATATATATATATATATATATATATATATATATATATATATATATATATATATATATATATATATATATATATATATATATATATATATATATATATATATATATATATATATATATATATATATATATATATATATATATATATATATATATATATATATATATATATATATATATATATATATATATATATATATATATATATATATATATATATATATATATATATATATATATATATATATATATATATATATATATATATATATATATATATATATATATATATATATATATATATATATATATATATATATATATATATATATATATATATATATATATATATATATATATATATATATATATATATATATATATATATATATATATATATATATATA